CCTATAAAAATGTGTTAATATAACATTCTGAAAATGTTGAAGTAATATTCCAAAAATATTGAAATTACTACCTTGGAATGTTATCGTAACATTTTCAAAATGTTGAATTACCTAATTTCCTGAAAAATGTTGATTTAACTTCCTGAAAGTGTTGTGGTATTCTTTTTTTAAATGATAATTCAACATTCTCAAAGTTTTAATGTTACATGTATATGTTGAGGTAACTTTCTGGAAACTTTTAGGAAACATTTTTTTGAAGGTTGGTATAAGTAATCTTCTTTCCAATGAAAAAAAATACTTTAAAAAACATTTTATTAGCAGGTAAAGATTACCTAATAAAAATATAATAAAAAATAACATAATTTCTTCGTAATAAGAGATCAAAAGTAAAAATACTGAGCAAAACAATATTGTACAATAATATGTACTTTGAAAAAGGAAACAAAATAGACATAAAATATTCTATACTCAACTGCCCTATAGGAATATATTCATTCCAGAAAAAATATAATAAGATTTGAAAAAACATACTTATTTTTCTAAATAAGGAAATCAAAAGCAAACACACTAAACGAAATTTAAAACTAGAAACGACCAACATAACGACATAACATTCTTGTACAATACTTGGGAAAAGAAAACAAAACAAGCATAAATATTCTTTACTGCCTTATTGGATAATATTCATTTGAGAATGAACATTTTTTGCTTAACGACTTGTACTAAACGAAGGAAAACTGTCATACAACTTACTCCATAATACATAACAGTTTTTGAATTCTGATTTGATTACTCAAACCACTAACCGCCATGTTTCCTGTAAAAACGAGGCGATTAGGTGCTCAGAAGACCTACTTAGAAAAGGTATTTTAATTACTTCAATAGGTATCTAGATTATTGCTCAAGTACTACTTACCTAGAGTTTATAAAATGAATACACGACACAAATAAAATTTTATAGATATCGCCAATATAAGGTATAAAGAAGAGGAAATTAAAATTTGCAGGCAAGAAAAACATGGCACATACCAGGTACCAATGATCTACTGCACGCACAATGTCGTCCTGTTGTTCTTCGATCTACCCTCTCGGCCGCAGCGCCTCCTGTCTGAAATGTTCAAATACGGAACTAATATTCAACATTCTAAATGTTGAAATATCCGTTTAAAATGTCCATTTAATTAACCAAAAAGTAAAATCAATGTGTAGAATTTGTTCACTTAACAACTTTCAATTTTCGGATTGATTGCAAATAAACGTTATTTCGATAGTTTTTTCAAATTATTCTAACATTTTTGGTAGTTCAAACAACAATTCTCAGGGTTTAAATTAAAATAGAATTAACATTTCATTTCGAGCAATAATTTTATATCAAATTAATATTTTACCTGTCAAATGAACAAATATCTTTTGACCAATTTGTGATATTAAACTGACAACAAAATTTAGATCATTTCAATAGTTTTTCTATTGAATTAACATTTTTCTAAATAACATCCATGGAAATGTTGATTTAACCAATTTATTTTTCTAGGTGTATTAATGATAAGTTCTCTTGACTAATACATAATCTGTGTTTTGGTTCCTCTTATGTTGTAGTTTTATTTATTGTCTTTATCCATAATAAGGAACGTTCAGCGAAATTTTGTATCAGACAGGCTACCACTTGAAGGTGTTTGCCATGCATTTTTAGCACACCCATCTGACTGTGTTTAAGCCTACAAAATGTTGTCAATGTACTCGGAAGGGGAGACTTACGTCATATATACAGGGTGTTTCTAAATATCACCTACAAACGGAAGGTGGTGATTCTTTGATTTATTTTATGACTAAAATTTCTAATAAACAGGTCCACAAATGCTTCGTTACCGATATACACGGTGTTGAAATGTTAATGTACCTATCTATATTGAAAATGAGCAAGAATATGGCGGCGAGGGGTGTCTCACTTCTAGATTCCTATTAAAAATGACCAAGAATATGGCTGCGGGACCTCTGTTGTCATTACTGTAGGTAGAAAAGGTTTATTGAGTCACTTTAGTTTCATCTAGCTAATTACAGAGATTTGTTTTTTAATTTTTTTCTCGATAAGGGTCGGTGATACGAAAAAACTACAAGAGGACATAAAGTTTCTAAATAAGGTAGAAAAATTATTTTGTGTCTTAGAATTGACCTGCGGCGCACTGCGAAAAAGTTGAGGGGCAAAAAAGGGGACATGACCCCTGAAAAAACATCACCCTGTAGATTCTGGCAAACGTTTAACATGTGCAATTAGTCAGCTCCTATTGCGTAACCTATATCCCAAATTTGAGCTAAATCCCTCAAAAATTGAAGGAGCTATAAAGAAAAAACTTTTAAAAAAAAATTGAAATTTCAACACCCTGTAGATCAGTAACGAAGCGTTTGCGGACCTATGTTTATTAGAAATTTTAGTCATAAAATAAGTCAAAGAATCATCCCCTTTCGTTTGTACCATCGTCACCAAAAGTAACTGGGACAACATCACATTAGCTCTTGTTCTATTATATGAATTTTATTGTCAAATATTTGTCAAACTATGAATTAAATGCATTAAAATGAATGACAGAAGAATTAGTCCAGGAGATTATTATGCATTATTTGTGTCCCAGATACTTTTGGTGACGATGGTACATGATATTAAGGAACATATTGTATAGTATATATTTTTTTTAAGGTCGCCTGCCCTGAACGGGCTACCACTGGAAGACGTCTGCCCTGGACGGGCTACTACTGGAAGGCGTCTGCCACGTGTTTTTAGGTTTCTGATATAATTCCCTACATGCCCAAAATATTTAATTTTTCTACAAGTGTCAAAAAAATGATGATCTTCGCACACTCATGACAGTTTGCGAAGAGACACTTTTTTCCCAGGTATTGATTTTTTAACGTTCCCATGACACCAGTGTGCGAACTAGCTATTTCGCACCCTAGTGCGCGAAATAGCTGTTAGCACACTGGTGTCATGTTGACACATACCTGTCAGGAAACCAAAAATAATTAAAATTCACCTACTCGAATCGAGCATTTCGCGCACTAGATACAAAAATAACTATTGTGTACTTGTTAGGGGGGTTTTTAATCAAAATTCCCTTATTTGGGGGGCGGTCACGGGAGCGGGCTACCACCCATCGCTGGCAGACGGGCGGTTTTTGTTCACGAATGATATAGTGTTTCGAGTACATATAATGAAAATTTTGTGCCCGATGAGGGGGGGTGATTTGACGCTGGGCCACCGGTCTAAGGGGTTAACAGGGGATTATTTTTGACTTTCCCTGTATTTTTGAGAACATTGAAAATAGCCAATTGGAACATTTTTTTCTGGAGAACTCAAAAATGATACTAAAAAATCATTTGAACCAAAAACCAAAGAGTTACACCATGGATGAGCGGTTTTTTGAATGGAACAGCCTGTTTTTTGTATGATTTTTGGACAAGTCAGACTTCTCATTCCGTTGAAAATATCTGATATTCCGATAGCTTTTTTATCTTATGTTAATGTTTTATTCTTATTCCTATTATTGATTTAATTGTTGTTTGTGTGTCCGAATATAATTCATCATATCAAAAGATACAAAAATCCAAGCAAAAATTCTTCACTGTGATCCACAAGAAGAATTGTTATAAACGAGATTTTTTTTAGTATTGCGGGACTTCGCGCGGTAATTTGAGAGTATTTCGGGAACTTCAACGGTAATTCCATGGGATTTCTCGTACTTCGACGGGAATACCTGGTATTTCGACGTACTTCACGGTATTTCTAGGTACTTCGAAGTATTTCGGAGGTAATTCGGGCCAATTGTACACGTATTTTGGGAAGTGGTTGACCCCTCGAGATATTGTATCCTAATGATCAATTAACATCCCCCGAACTCCATACACTGAATTATTCTCAGATTTTAAGCCGAAATTTATGAAAAAAGGCACTCAGAAAAATTGAAAAACTGATAAATCACCCCAATTTGCTTAACACGATTTTATCTTAGGAACTATAAGTGCAAATGAGCTGAAACTTTCAGGGATTATAGTCCCTTTATCGAGATAAGATTCAGTGAAAATTTCAGCTTTCTATCTATAATAGGCACAAAGTTATGCCCTTCCAAATTTTTCCAAAATCTAAATCATAAGGTTACTAAAACGATGAAATTTCAATTTTTTTTTTTGTTGAGATTTTGTATCCTAATGGTCAATGAACATCCCCCAAACTCCATACACTAAATTATTCTCAGATTTGAAGCCGAAATCTATGAAAAAAGGCACCCTGAAAAATTGAAAAATTGATAAATCACCCAAATGTGCTTAACATGGTTTTATCTCAGGAACTTTAAGTGCAAATGAGCTGAAATTTTCAGGGATTATAGTCCCTTTATTGAGATAAGATTCAGTGAAAATTTCAGCTTTCTATCTATAATAGAAAAAAAGTTATCCAAAATCTAAATCATAAGGTGAACGATGAAATTTTAAATTTTTTTTTGTTGAGATTTTGTATCCTAATTGTCAATTAACATCCCCTAAAATAGTTGGTGAAAACGGCCATTAGTACTGTTAATTTTGTTAGGTGAAAAACCGTTGTAAGTGTCATATCAACTTCCAGTTTGTTTTGAATCATGAAAAAGCTCTAATGAACAAACTTGAAAGTTTCAAGTTGCTGAGATGACTCAAAGTATTCTTCAGGAACCTTCAAAGACGATTTTATAGGAATTCTATAATTCAAAAAAAATTCTATTTCCGTCTATAACGATACTTTTATTCAAATTTGTTGATATAAAATGCATTATTATTTTCAATCAAAGAATTTAAAAAGATAATCACAATGACGGTTCATAGAAAAACAACAATAACAAAACAGCTGTGCTGATAAACTATTAAAAACAAGTTCAAAGTTCATATTTTGTATTATTGTAAAAGAGCACCTGTTTTTGCCCGCTGCGCTGAAATTATCAAGAATTTCAGCTCGCAATATAAATTTAATTCTTTTACAGTATCTTGATCGAGCAATGGATCCGTGCCAAATACCAACGCGAAGAATTCTGCTACCCGGAACGACAATCCTACACCAGCGGCTACTTTTCCGGCTTCCTAATGAAACGCGGCAAAGAAGACAGCCGCTACAGATCCAGGAAATTCATCTTATCCGAACAAGACGACACCCTAAAATATTACATCACCGAGTACAAAGACCCAAAAGCCATTTTACGAATATCTGAACTCAATGTTGTCCTTTCACCTGAAAAAATGAGCCCCTACATTAACTCTTTGCAAATCACTTTTCTTAAAGATGGTACCACCAGACACATTTATGTATACCACGATGAGGCAGAAGTTATTACGAATTGGTACATGGCAATACGCTGTGCCAAATTGCACCGGCTTCAAGTGGCTTATCCTTCAGACAGCCAAACAGAACTGTCAAAGTATTTGACTGAGGATTTTGCCAAAGAAGGTTGGCTGTGGAAAACTGGCCCTAGAACTAGTGATGGCTTCAAAAAACGCTGGTTCGCTTTGGACAATAGAAAGCTAATGTACCATGACGATCCTATGGATGCTAATCCAAAAGGAGAAATATTTATTGGTAGGTTTTTTTTTTATAAAATTAATATATTGGATTAATTATTTTGATTTTTTTTTTAGGTCATATGGCTGACGGTTATGGTATTAAGATGGGTGTGTCCACAGGAGTTAAGGACCAAGGATTTTCGTTTATGCTGACCACACCTGACAGAGTCTACAATTTGTCAGCGCAGTCAGAAATTGACCGAGACCTTTGGATCGAAGTACTGGAAAGGGTGATTGAGAAGCCGCTCACTGCCCAAGACATTGCAGGTACTGACTTGACTGAGGAAGATCTTTTAAAAAGTCGACTCAATTTTATTAAGATTTATAGAGAATAGTTGTTAGCTTTTGCTTGTTTTGTAAATTGTGCTTTTTATTTTCCAGTATCGGCTCGTTTGGTTCGCAAGAGGACCAGCTCAAACTCGATCAGCATATTTTCGCCTAGGTAGTTCCTATGGACATATCCGAGATTTGCCTAAAACTTTTTTTTAGCCTAGTCCACATACGTAAAGCAGAACTCATTTTTAGTGGGTACTCAGTATGACTTGGACCAACTGAATCATCATTTCTCATGCTTGGGTTCATCAGCGTTGTCAAATCAATTCTGGGATCATTTTTGCAAAATGTAATCTCCAATAGCATTTACTAAACGTCTTCAAATACAGGGTCAATTTTTATATATATATACGGATACCCTGTATGTTGGAGGCAAATTTTGTACAGACGATTTATATTATTGTATAAATTAAAATTAATTTAGGGCCTATCTTGTAAGTGGCGAGGATTTATGTGTCCAGATATTTAACCGACAACACTAAGGTCTGTCACTTATTAAGTATTGTGGATCAAATATCAGGACACCCTGTATAAACACCTAGAAAGATAATTTTGTTTGTTTTGGTATGATAAATTGTTCTGTTAATACCTATATAGCCAAAATAATGATTCCAGTTGTATATTATTGTTTTGACACTATTGTGTAATGATTTTTCTTTAGTTTTTGATCTTGAGGATTTTTAGATTGGCGAGATGTTCATGGGAGGACTCAGCAGCGCCCCCTTCTGCCTTACTTCCGCTGTTAAAGTCTTTAAGATCGTATTTTAGTTTGTAGGCAAAGTTTTCATCCAAACGATCTTGTAAATATTTACTCTTTTTTTAGATTTATACACCAAAATATTTTTTATTAGTATTTAAGAACGAGAATTTGTTTTAGTATTTACCAAATAAACATTTTATTTTAATAATTTATATTTTTGTTTGGCGTTTTGTATCCTACTGTTTCAGAGAAAGAGGGTGGTCTGAAAGCCATCCTATTTCAATAAAGGCAATCTCTGGAATTAAACTGTTTAGTTTTATTTAGTTGATAGATTAGTAGAGAATTTGATTGGCTGTAATTGAAGCTTAATTACATTGGAATCGGATGGAAATTACAGGAGCTGCAAGGCAAAAACTGTCCTGGTGTCTTTTTTTTTATAAACTTTCAAAATTCGGTAATTTAAATTTTGAATCTTCTCAGCTGTGAAACTTGTGAGACTAAATTAAAATCCTAATTGACAGTTTTATAGAGAATTTAATTGGCTTTAATTAGAGCTTAATTACATTGAAATCGGATGACAATTATTAACGGAGCTGCGAGGCAAAAACTGTCTCGGTGTCATTTTTGGTAAATTTTCATATATACCATCTCACACATTTCAAAGTTTTCCTGGAAAACTAGTGAACGGAAAAATTTGAAACTTTTTGCATGTGAAAAGGAAGGTGAAAAGCTTATTTTCCCAAAATTTCGAATTTTTCCAGTGGAAAATAACCATGAATAATCTTGGAAATCAACTGAACTGAATTATTTGAAAATATCGTTTCACACATTTCAAAGTTTTCTTGGAAAACTAGTGAACGGAAAAATTTGAAACTTTTTGCATGTGGAGAGGAAGGTAAGAAGCTCATTTTCCAAAAAATTTCAAATTTTTCCAGTGGAAAATAACAACATAAAGAATCTTGGAATTCAACTTATAAAAATTGAATAAGTCGAAAATACCGACTCACACATTTCAAATTTTTCTTGGAAAACTAGTGAACGGAAAAATTTAAAACTTTTTGCATGTGGAGAGGAAGGTAAGAAGCTCATTTTCCCAAAATTTCAAAATTTTCCAGTGGAAAATAACAACATGAAGAATCTTGGAAATCAACTAACAAAAACTGAATTCAGTTTTTGTTAGTTGATTGAAAACTAGTGAACGAAAAAATTTGAAACTTTTTGCATGTGGAGAGGAAGGTGAGAAGCTCATTTTCCTAAAATTTTGAATTTTTGCAGTGGAAAATAACAACATGAAGAATGTTGGAAATCAACTTACAAAAAGTGAATTAGTTGAAAATACCCTCTCACAAATTTCAAAGTTTTCCTAGAAAACTAGTGAACGGACAAATTTGAAACTTTTTGCATGTGGAGAGGAAGGTGAGAAGCTAATTTTCCCAAAATTTTAAATTTTTCCATTGGAAAATAACAACATGAAGAATCTTGGAAATCAACTTACAAAACTGAATTAGTTAAAAATACCGTCTCACACATTTCAAAGTTTTCCTAGAAAGCTACTGAACGGAAAAATTTGAATTTTTTTTCATGTGGAGAGGAAGGTGAGAAGCTCATTTTCCCAAAATTTTAAATTTTTCCATTGGAAAATAACAACATGAAGAATCTTGGAAATCAACTTACAAAACTAAATTAGTTGAAAATACCGTCTCACACATTTCAAAGTTTTCCTAGAAAGCTAGTGAACGGAAAAATTTGATTTTTTTTGCATGTGAAGAGGAAGGTGAGAAGCTCATTTTCCCAAAATTTCAAATTTTTCCAATGGAAAATAACAACATGAAGAATCTTTGAAATCTACTTATAAAAATTGAATTAGTTGAAAATACCGTATCACACATTTCAAAGTTTTCCTGGAAAACTAGTGAACGGAAAAATTTGAAACTTTTTGCATGTGCAGAGGAAGGTGAGAAGCTCATTTTCCCAAAATTTCAAATTTTTCCAGTGGAAAATAACGACATGAATAATCTTGGAAATCAACTTACAAAAATTGAATTAGTTGAAAATACCGTCTAACACATTTCAAAGTTTTTTTGGAAAACTAGTGAACGGAAAAATTTGAAACTTTTGCATGTAAAGATGAAGGTGAGAAGCTCATTTTCCCAAAAAGTGGAAAATAACAACATGAAGAATCTTGGAAATCACCTTACAAAAACTGAATTAATTGAAAATACCGTCTAACACATTTCAAAGTTTTCTTGGAAAACTAGTGAACGGAAAAATTTGAAACTTTTTGCATGTGCAGAGGAAGGTGAGAAGCTCATTTTCCCAAAATTTCAAATTTTTCCAGTGGAAAATAACGACATGAATAATCTTGGAAATCAACTTACAAAAATTGAATTAGTTGAAAATACCGTCTCACACATTTCAAAATTTTCCTGGAAAACTAGTGAACGAAAAAAATTTGAAACTTTTTGCATGTGGAGAGGAAGGTGAGAAGCTCATTTTCCTAAAATTTTGAATTTTTGCAGTGGAAAATAACAACATGAAGAATGTTGGAAATCAACTTACAAAAAGTGAATTAGTTGAAAATACCCTCTCACAAATTTCAAAGTTTTCCTGGAAAACTAGTGAACGAAAAAATTTGAAACTTTTTGCATGTGGAGAGGAGGTGAGAAGCTCATTTTCCCAAATTTTCAAATTTTTGCAGTGGAAAATAACAACATGAAGAATCTTGGAAATCAACTAACAAAAACTGAATTAGTTGAAAATACCGTCTCACACATTTCAAAGTTTTCCTGAAAATCTAGTGAACGGAAAAATTTGAAACTTTTTGCATGTGGAGAGGAATGTGAGAAGCTCATTTTCCTAAAATTTTGAATTTTTGCAGGGGAAAATAACAACATGAAGAATGTTGGGAATCAACTTACAAAAAGTGAATTAGTTGAAAATACCCTCTCACAAATTTCAAAGTTTTCCTGGAAAACTAGTGAACGGAAAAATTTTAAACTTTTTGCATGTGGAGAGGAAGGTGAGAAGCTCATTTTCCCAAAATTTCAAATTTTTCCAGTGGAAAATAACCAACATGAAAAATCTTGGAAATCAACTTACAAAAACTGAATTATTTGAAAATACCGTTTCACACATTTCAAAGTTTTCCTGGAAAACTAGTGAACGAAAAAAATTTGAAACTTTTTGCATGTAAAGAGGAAGGTGAGAAGATCATTTTCCCAAAATTTCAAATTTTTCCAGTGGAAAATAACAACATGAAGAATCTTGGAAATCAACTAACAAAAACTGAATTAGTTGAAAATACCGTTTCACACATTTCAAAGTTTTTCTGGAAAACTAGTGAACGAAAAAATTTGAAAATTTTTTCATGTGAAGAGGAAGGTGAGAAGCTCATTTTCCTAAAATTTTGAATTTTTGCAGTGGAAAATAACAACATGAAGAATGTTGGAAATCAACTTACAAAAAGTGAATTAGTTGAAAATACCCTCTCACAAATTTCAAAGTTTTCCTGGAAAACTAGTGAACGGAAAAATTTGAAACTTTTTGCATGTGGAGAGGAGGTGAGAAGCTCATTTTCCCAAATTTTCAAATTTTTCCAGTGGAAAATAACAACATGAAGAATCTTGGAATTCAGCCTACATAAACTGTATGTACTCATTGTTTTGAATTTTTTAAATTTGGACCTGTAAATCATGAAGTGAAATTTTGGGAGAATTTCTTTAATAAAAATGAATATCCAACGTCCAACACAAAACTAGATTTTTGTTTAAATTCCCATTTATTACTATTTTTTATAATAAAAATGTGAACCTCAGTGACTTCATGACCCCACAATTTCCTTTAAATTATCCTTCCTAAAAATTATTGTCCAACGTTCAACATAAAACTAGATTTTTTTAAAAATTTCCATTTATTAGTGTTTCTTATAATAAGAATGTGAACCTCAGTGATGTCATGACTCTACAATTTCCTTTAAATTCCTCCAAATTCCCCATAAATTTCTCCTAATTCTCCAAATTCTTATAAATTCTGATGAGTTCCTTCAAATTCCCCACATTTTTGGCAAAGAATTCCTAGGTGGTTTGCCCTTTGTTTTGAACCTTCTCAAATTCAGGTGCAAAACTGTTGAAACCAAATTAAAATCCTAATAAATAGGTTTGTAGAGAATTTAATTGGCTTTAAGTAATTAGAGCTTAATCACATTGAAATTGGATGAAAATTGACACAGTTGTCCATCCATCAAATTGCACTACCTGAGAGTTTATCAGAAAGTGAAAAAACTGGGCCTTAATTTTGTATTTTGATTACAATCAAGAGAATATTTGCAATTTTTCTCTCAAATTTTAGGCTTTGTAATGAGAGCTTTAGTACAAAAAAACTGAATTAAAACAGAAAGAAATCCAATAAAATACATGATATTATATTAAAAAAAAAAGATGCTATAATTTATATACAAAAACATTTTACCTAAAACTACAATAATATTGGAAATTTGGTTTCTAATAATTTGATAATTATGTAATTAGTAAACAATACAATAATTAATTATATAAAAGTTTGCCTTCAAAATACAACAATAATAATTAAACAAAATAAAATAAGCCTTTGTTCCAAGGCATTATCGTTTCAAAAAATTCCAATTGTTAATAAAATCGATTCTCATTCAATACAAATTTATCTACAATATTTTTCAGATAATTGTTTTAACAAAGCAACATAGTCATGGTAAGTAACATAAATATTTTGAAAAAGTAAAGTGCAGTTCATTTTTTTTACAACTAACCAAAAATAATATTTCATAAATTAAAATGAGAAATGCATGATTACAAGACAATATATACTTTTTTCTAGGCTGTTTACAGCTCTTAAAAATTCTTCTGCACTCAAAAGTTGCTTCATTACCTCAGATTCTCTATCATCACACTGTAAACAACCATGAAAAAATTCAAATTTGATTACACTATCGAGTGTTTTCAATAAAGCTAGCTCAATAAGCTTCGAATTTCCTTATGCATATGACATAAAAAATCCACATAACTAGCCGACCCATCGGTGCCACGATCTTCAACCAAAAAGTGCTTAAAAACAGGCTCTAACTTTTCCCTTTGTCTTACCAAAGTCAGCCTCATGCTTCTGTGCCTCTCAATTCTTATATCCTCAATAATCCTCCTAACAGCAATTGACAAGGGATTGTCTAGCTCAGGCAAAGAAGGTTTTTCAATGTCAATTTGTATTGCTGACTGAACCCCAAAGACATTTTGTACAAACTCCGGACTGGCACCCAAACCGACCCACATAAACATGTGTAAACCATTTTCTAAAATATACACCCCTTGCTCGCTCATTTTTTCAATAGTACATCTAATAGGAGCAGGCATTTCAAAATTATCCTCATTTAATTCGTGCAAAGGAATCAGCCTGGGATAGAAATAATTAACTGAAGTATAAACATCCATCATTAAAACAGCTTGCATCGCAAAAGACCTATCATCTATAGTCATATCAGAGCCACCTGACAAAGCATCACTCTTCAACAAACAATTCATATAGAGCGGCAACAATTTCATACATTCGGGCAAAATCAATTGACCAGCGCTACTAGGTGTGGCACAATTTTTCCTATAAGTAGCCAATATTTGAGCTGCTCTACTAACCAAAGCATCTTTGACTGATTTGGGGCTGTTGTCCCACAACTTATACGAAGCCTGTTTTGCCATAAAATTAATCAAAGTATCCAAATCGCAACTCCTATACAAATCGGCCATTTGAGAACAAGTTTTCAATGCCAAATTCATTATACGTAAACGCCTTTGGCCAGAACAAGATGTGTAAAGTAAAGCAGCTTGAATATAAACCCCTTCTTCTTCAGATAGTTTATCGTCATGTTTGATTTCAATGGCAATGCCTTTGTCGCAATCCAAACTTGCCAACTCAACATCAGTAGTATTTGACATGAAAAAGTACCCATAAAAATCGGTTGGTCTCACACCAGTCGATGTCCTCACCCTCATAATACCATCAAAAGCAATCGGCCTACTGATGTCAATAATAATATCATTAATCAAACGATCACCATCAATTTCAGCTTGGAAATATGTATACTTGAAAACTTCACCTCCAGTTAGTCTAGCAACTTGACTGATAGTGGCAATATCAATGAACGAATTATTAAAAACAAACAAATCAACTGAACAACCTGCAGCGACGCAATCTTGCCCTAGCTGATTGTAAGCTTGAGTTTGTGGAGTCAATACTGTTTTTTCTTTGTCTGTACCCAACAACTTCCTATCGTCCCTATTCTTCAATTTTCCTGGTGCCTCTGCAGTAGGCAAAGTGGAATGAAACACCACAAGCTTGCCGGTAGAGTCAGAAGCCTTCAAAGCTTCTAGTCCGGCTAAAATTGCTGGCAGCAATACAATTTCAGTCTCTTTAGTGTCAGCAAACATATTAGGAATTTGTTCCATTAAGGAATCAATAACAATTTCTGATTCTTCGGGTGTACATAAAAACCCATCTAAAAGAGGCATAAACATTTCTTGGGTATCACCTACAACCATCATTTGAGGCCCAGCCAAGGTACCCTTAATATTATAAAAATGCACAGAGCTGTTATAAGTAATAAACCCTACACGCATATTGCTTTTTTCTTGGCCTTGATCCAAGGGAAGGTTTTGCAAAATCTCCTTCATTCTGGCACAAAGCAAATGCACCATACCAGACTTAATATTATTATAGGAAACATCAATAATGAAAATTATAGCAGGAGGTTTGGGTAGGGTATTGTTTCTGCAATAATCAGCCGTTGCAACAAACTCATATGTGCCTAATACTAATTCTGGTCTCTCAAATTTATCCATTCTTTGACCAGTATGGTCTAGATGCTGGAAATACTCAGCAGGTACGTCTGTGGTAGCCTTACAAAAAAGACATTGAAATCTTCTGCCTGAATCAATAAATTGCATATAAGGGCACATGTAAGCTTTGCATCTAATACACCTAACAGGCCCTAATTCACCAAAATTAATAATAGGAATGGCAAATTCATCTTTACCTAATCTAGCCATAGGGCTTATAACTAAACTAAAAGGTACAGCAGTTTGTTTCATAATGTCCTGTGTAATAGGGACATTGTACATTGTAGAACGTATAAATCTAGGACTCACGTTACCTTGATCTTGAACTACAAAGTTTGTGGTGACCAAAGGAGGCACCAAACCTTTTTGGTTGGTCACAAAGGGTCCGCTTCTGTTTTGCTGATCGTCTTGAATCACTTGAATGGGGCTGGGCATCTGGTCGGGATCCAAACGTTTTTGTTGCTGCTGTTGTTGTTGAGGGTAGGCTCCCATTTGAGGGCCTTGAGGCCTTGGTTGCGCGTAGCCTGGAGGTGGCATGTGAGGTCCGCTCATGGACATGTTTTGCAGTTGACTGGTAACTTGATCATAGTTTTGTCCAGGTGGTGGTGGATTGAGAAACATTGGCGGCATTTGATTGGAGGTTTGAGGTAAGGGTGGCAAGCCATGTGCCATTCTGTTGGCAGCCAATATTGCTTGAGCGGGCCCTGGAGGAATTCCAGGTTGATTTTGTCCAGGGAACATTCCTTGTTGAGGAGGCGGGAACTGAACTGGAGGACCCATTTGAGATTGAGAAGGCATTGGTGGTTGCCTTTGTGTAGGTGGAAATTGCGCCATTTGAGTTTGTGAAGCGGGCATTGGTGGTTGTTGATTTTGTGAAGGTGGAAACTGACTTGGAGGTCCATGTTGGGCTTGTGAAGGATGCATTGGTGGTTGCCCTTGTGTAGGTGGAAATTGTCCCATTTGAGTTTGTGAAGGTGGCAACTGCCCAGGGGGCATTGGCGGTTGTTGATTTTGTGAAGGTGGAAATTGCCCCATTTGATTATGTGAAGGTGGCAACTGCCCAGGGGGCATTGGAGGTTGTTGTTTTTGTGGAGGTGGAAATTGACCTGGAGGCCCATGTTGGGCTTGTACAGGCGGAAATTGTCCAGATGGTTGCCCTTGTTGATTTTGTGAAGGTGGAAACTGACCTGCAGGACCCATTTGAGGTTGAGAGGGCATTGGTGGTTGCCCTTGTGAAGGTGGAAATTGCCCCATTTGATTTTGAGACGGTGGCAACTGCCCAGTGGGCATTGGTGGTTGTTGGTTGTGTGGAGAACCCATTTGAGTTTGTGAATGTGGCCTTGGTGGTTGTCCTTGTTGATTTTGAGACGAACCAGGTTGTGCAGGAGGTATTCCTGGACTATGAGATGGTGGAAATCTACCAGGAGCTTGTGACTGTACAGGAGGCATACCAGGTTGATTTAACTGTACAGGAACCATTCCAGTAGGTGGTAAATCTCTTGGAGGCAGCCCAGCTGGTGGCATTTGATTTTGAGATTGCCCCACAAATTGTCCATCGTTAAATTGAATGTTTTTCTGAGGTGGCATACCTGGTGGAAGGAAATTTGGTGATCCAGTTGTTGTGGGACCATTTTTACTGTTTGGAACCATTGGATTGTTGGTTCTCGGTGGAAAACCGTTGGACGGCGGATGGAAATTGCCTTGTTGCGGAGGCAAATATTGCGGATTCATGATTTTCTTTTTAAATTAAAATAACAAATTTCCACTCAACAAAAATACTGGAACAATAAATTGAACAACTCACTACTGCCACGTAAGGTTACTACTTCAAGGCGATTTCGATTTGAGTGTACATTTAATACTCGGTGCACACTTTTTTTGCAGGTTGACGTTTAAAGCATGCATTATTTGTCAATAGTTAGAAATAGTGCACACTTAGGGCAAAAAGTGCAATCAAATCGAAATCGCTATTGGAGTAAATTCCAACTATCAATAGTCACATCATTCAAATACAATTAGTCGTATCTTTGTCTTTCATGTGTAACAAACAAGGATAGCAACTGTTCTAGTTGATAATAAAAATGCAACCCTGTAATTGCAGCTAACTTCACGTATGTTTTCTTTTCAATTATAAACAATTTAACAAATATGGCGGAATTTATTCAAAACACCGATGAAGCCCCGATAAAAAAGGCAAAATTAGCCGAAATTACAAAAGAAACCGTTCACGAAGAGCTGAAAAGTTTATCGGATTTTAATTTGACCAGCATTTTGCATAATAACACCAACCGAAAAACCGTTTGTTTACGCGGAAATTTTGGTTCGAAAGAAGGCGAAGCCATCGTGATTTTGGAGAAAACCGCATTTTCCGGGGAGAATTTGACCCCGAATAGTGAATATTTCAATGAGAAAAGTTCCCTGGAAAAGATTTTTCATAACGATGCTTATGGGAATTATAAGTATTTTCCTGTTCCAGAATTAAACAGTGAGTATATTGTTAGTATATCCTGTTCACAATCCGATGTCCACAGGTAGAGGTAAATTTATCACCTTTCCCTATCAAATAGCATTGAAAGGTGATAAATTTTACCTGTACCTGTGGACATTGGATTGTGAACGGTCGAACAGATAATATAAACTTACCCCTTACCCCAAGTAAATAAGAGTCATAGGCACCCTTACTTTTTTCAAAAGTTGTTGCTTCTTTTGGAAGTTTTCTAAGTTCAGTAATTTCTCACAAACTATGCGAGCTACAAACAAGAAATTTTGTGGTCTTATTTTAAAGGTAAAGCAGACGATACTAAGAATTCAAAATGAACAAATACAGTTTTTGAAAAGTGAAATACAAAAACTTTCCATAAATTGAGTAATTTCTCGTATTCTAGACATTAGGTATAATAGAAAAAAAGTTATGATCTTTCAAAGTTTTTCAAAATCCGAGGGGTGTTTCACCTACCCAAAAATGTGTACACCACTGCCTAAGTTAGGCAATGTTTAATAACACTGCCTAGTCAATGGCAGTCAATGCCTATGGCGACTGCTGCGAATATTTCTGTTAATGCCAATAATGTTACCATCAATGTCAAGAATGCCAACATCAATGCCATCAATTCCGACACAATGCTAAAGTGTGTTTTTTTTTTAAAGATAAAAGTCAAAATGACATTATGTTGGCAATACAATGTAAAATTGTCAATGCTTCCAATTTTTTTATGTAGAAAAGGCTTGTGCTGCCAACATAGTTACTAAATTTTTGACTTGGGGAATTATTTTTAAATAAAAAACAAACTTTATCTATTCCGACATCAATGCTGTGTATTCCGACATCGATGCTGTCAATTCTGACATCAATTTCGTCAATTCTGACATCAATGCCGTCAATTCTGACATCAACCTCGTCATTTCCGAAATCAATTTAATGCCGTCATTACTCTCACTGCCAATTATTGCCATTAATTTGTACACCAATGCCGATCGAGAAACATCCCTCGCCAAAATCTAAATCATAAGGTACCTTCTTACTAAAACGATGAAATTTCAAATTGTTTTTTGTCAAGATTTTGTATCCTAATGGTCAATCAACATACCCCAAACTCCATACATTAAATTATTCTCAGATTGAAGCCGAAATCTATGGCTTTTCACCCAAGGAAATCGGTGTACAAATTCCTGGAAATATTTGGAAATAGTAGTAGTAAATATGCTTTATTGTCCAAGAATACAAAAATCTTATTGACAAAGCTAACCTAACTTAGATTAAATTTTACAACTAAACCTAGAAGCCAGCAAGTCAACAATATCAATTTACAAAAATAATCAAATCAAATCAAATCAAAATATGCTTTATTGTCTAAAATCAAGTTTTGTTGACAAAGCTAATAAAAAAATAAATAAAAAATAAAGTATCACATAATAAGTATAAGTCCAATAATAAAGGTCAAAATAGATTCAAATAACATTACAGGTCCTAAGGTCAACATACAAAATATAAAATATAAAATATAAAACAAGCAAACACAACTAAGTCTAAGTCTAACACGAATATTGGTAAACTTCAAAAAAAAAGATAAAATTTTAATTTTAAAAAGCAACAGATGAACAGGAGAGATCAAATCAATACTCAACAGAAAGCAGGAAGTAAAATGGTTTAAAAATACAATAAAACTTACAATTATTAAAAATCAGACAAATAGTGAAACCGAAATACTATACAAAAAATACAATAATATATTCCAAATAAGTTAAAAACTAAAAAGTGTCACCATAGTATTCTCCCACCTCATAATATGCCCTCTCCACCAAAAGTCTCTTAACTGCGTTCTTAAATTGCCCGAGGGTAGGATAAAGCTTTATATATTCAGGTAGGTGGTTATAGATCTTACGACTCTCATAAATAATTGAATTTTTAACTAAGGCAGAGGAAGGAATTGGCAAGCTTAAATAGTGTGACCGTCTAGTGCCATACAAATGACCGGGCATTGGTAAAACATCCCTACGCTTATAAATCATACAGACCGTTTCCAAAATAATCAGTGATGTAAGAGAATTTTTTTAGATTTGAATAGAGGCCTGCATGATTCTCTACTATTTACGTTACACATATAACGAATGGCACGTTTTTGTAGAACAAAAATAGGATGTATTAAGTTATTACTCGCATTTCCCCACAATACAATACCATAACGCAAATGAGATTTCACCAAAGCATAGTAAACCCTCCTCGCCATAGCATTGCCTAGCTCCCTTGATATTGTGCGCACTGCATAACATCCTGAAGCCACTTTCTTATTAATATGAGTGTCAAAATGTAATGACTCATCAATAAAAACTCCCAAAAACCTAGTTCCAGGCTTAGCCAAAAGAGGATCCTTGCCAAGATAAAGAGTATTTAAATGACAATGAAAATTCAGAATAGTGGTCTTGTCAACATTCAGAGTCAGCAAGTTAGCATCGCACCACCTTTTAATTTTTGGGAGATTTGAAGAAACCTTTTCCTCTAACGCATCGACGCTTGAATCACGCCATAATATAGTAGTGTCATCTGCAAAAAATGTGAACTGACCCTCAATATTGACAAAAGCAAGATCATTAATATACATTAAAAAGAGAAGAGGGCCTAGTACAGAGCCCTGAGGAACCCCATGCTTGACCTTATTGGCCTGAGATAATTGGGAACCAAAGATGACTTTCTGAGAGCGCCCTTCAAGATAGGAGCGAAACCAGTCCAAAACCTTCACTCTGAAACCATATTTTTGAAGCTTGCACAGCAGAATTCCATGACTGACGCAATCAAAAGCTTTAGATAAGTCACAGAAGACCGCTGCGAGAGCCTCACCGGCATTAAAACCAACGTAAATTTCCTCTAAAAATTTATATATTGCATCATCAGTACTTTTCTTAGTTTGGAAACCAAACTGATCTGAATTTAGTATCTGATGATAGTTTAAAAAATGATAAAACCCACTTTTTAACCAACTTCTCGACAATTTTCGAAAGGGTTGATAATAGAGAAATTGGCCTGAAATTTTGAGGTTCATCCAGATTCCCACCCTTATGCAGAGGAATAACACTTGCAGTCTTCAAAGTATTTGGAAATTTTCCTATTTCCCAGGAATAATTAATCGCTCCTGAAAGTGCATCAAGTGCAGGTTGAGGAAGAGCAAGAAATATTTTCAATGATATGCCGTCTTCACCAGATGAGTTTTTATTTTTAATGGATTTTATAGTTTGTGTGATTTCTCTAGAGTCAGTTGGAAAAAAGTAGAATGATGGCTCTATTTGAACATGTTTCAAGTAATCCATTGGATCAACAATTGGAGTTAATTTTGACATAAGAGAACCTGCAACTGAACAATAATAATTATTCAATACTGTTGGAGTCATATCAGGAACATTAATCCTAGATTGATTATTAACTCCTATCAACTCATTTATAATATTCCAACTTTCTTTCTGAGAATTGCTTGCTGTAGTTAAACGACTGCTATAGTATAGTTCTTTTGTCCTTAATTGTCCTTCTATATATGGATCTATAATGTTGGAAATAATTGAGAAATGCATTATTGTCAGTAAATTTTCTGAGAGTATGGAGACATCTCATATTAAGAGAAGAAGTTCTTAATCCAACAGTCATCCAAGGTTTTTTGCACCGAATCTTAATTTTCTGAATAGGAAAAGCTACATTAAATGACTCCTGCAAAATTGTGTGAAAGATTTCAAGAGGATTGCCGCTCTCGAATATACTTTCCCATTGAATAGACATACATATTTCATCAAATTTTCCATAGTTTGTTCTACTAAACAGTCTACCAACTTTGTATTTACTTTTCTTAGTATTAATGGAACATGAAATCTTACCAAGGATAGTTTCATGGTAACCTAGACCCGAGTTAAAAACCGAACAAGAAATATTAGACAAATCAAAATACATTCATTTAACACAACATTTCTTGACATAGGTTTCAAAGACTAGTGAACACAACAACAATAAAAAAAAAAAACCTTTATTTAGTAGGTATGTCAGTCAAATTAAGATAAATAAATAAATAGGTAAAATATAAAACAATACAGAAATACACAATTGAAAAAATACACAATATGCTACGCTAGTGCTATACACAGACAAAGATAAAAAACAATATGTATGTCATAAATAAAAAAAATATATAAACAATAAAAAGTCCACAAAAGGTTGAATTTGAAATTGAGTAACTGTTGAAGGAATAAGAGACAACTATTGGTTAAAAGAATAAATAAAATACTCATCGAGCGAATAGAAAGCTGGCTTCACCAGTGCTCCCTTTAAGGTTTTGCGAAACTTTGAGATATTTGATACGTTTTTGAAATTTAAAGGTAGCTGATTATAGACCTTTTATGCTATTATAAATTATTGAATTTTGCACCAAAGCCGAATGGGGGATCGGAAGAGGAATGTCATGCCTTTGACGAGTTAAGCAAGTTGTCTGATGAACATATACTTACTTAGAAATACTTTGGAAATCCCCAGAAATACTGAAAAATACCTAGAAATACTTGGTAATGCCTTGGGGAATACCTAGAAATACTTGGTAATACATGCCAAATGATGTGAGAAAACAGTATGTTTATGAGCTTCCTGAGCGCTGCTTTTTCTCGTAAATAAGTTTTTTTGAATTTTTACTGTCCAAGTTAGTTTAATTTGATTATGAGAACCTTGGTGAGAACTTATTGAAAGGTACTTGAGTGTGTACTTACAGGGTGTCCAAATTCGAGAAGTATCATCGGGATATTGGAAACGGTAAGAGATACAGGGTTGGTTAAATAATGGCAAAGTTGCGCAATTTTATGCTTAACAAAATAGTCAAAATACCATTCTGATAATTTAAAAAGTCTGAATAGTTCCGGAATTATTGGGAATAATCCGAAATTTTACAGCATTTTTTTTTCTGAGCTTATTTGAAGAGATATCTCAAAATAAATGTCACTCTATCATTGGCACTTGTTCTTCTCCACAAGATGCTACCATCAAATTTAAGATCCGACGTTTTGTCTTTGGGCTACCATCATCAACTTTATTTTTTTAAATATGACCCTGAATTTTTTATTTCAGATTTTAAGAGCTTCTAACGCTAGAAACTTGGGATTAATAATCGACAGTGACTTAAGCTTCAGTGTTCACATATCCAAAAAACTGTCGTTAGTCTATCTTAAACTAAAATCCTTATATGCATTTAAGTATTTACTACCATGTAGTACAAAAATGATGCTGATTGAATCATTAATCTACCTTCACTTGGATTACTGTAGTGTTGTTTACTTCAGCTTCTTGACAAAAGAACTGAGAAATAAAATTCAGTTAGCACAAAATTCTTGTCTACGATTTGTCTCTTGTACTGGTAAATTGGATCATATCACCCCAATTTACATGCAGTATGAACACTTGAGGTTTGAGTCGCATGTCTCTTTGCATTTTGCTGTTTTTCTTTATAAGATTTTTAAGAGTAATTGCCCTGGTTATCTCTGGTCTCTAATTGTGCCTAGAAATGACTTGCATAATAGGGATCTTAGAAATACAGTAAGATATAATATACCGCTACATCGAACATCCAAATTTAGAAGTTGTTTTGCATTTCTGTCTGTAGAATTACTTAACTCAAATATCTATGATTTGTTAATTAATAATTCATTAGTGATTTTTAAAAAGGTTTATACTGTACAAATTACGCAAAAAATATTATTCTATTCTATTCTGTTCTAATCTATTCTTCCAATGTCCCAGAACCTATGACATACCCTCCGACCGCATTTATTCGAAAAAAAAAAAAATTTCTGTGACGGGAAAAAAGTAGAGTTTTTATACCTGTTGACAGGGTCAAAAATGTCACTTTTTCTCACATGGGAAAAAAGTGATTTTTTTTCCCACTGGAAAAAAGTAACAGGTACCATCGTCACCAAAAGTAACTGGGACAGCATCACATTAGCTCTTGTCCTATTATATGAATTTTATTGTCAAATATTTGTCAAAGTATGCATTAAATGCATTATTAAAATAAATGACAGTAGAATTAGTCCAGGAGATTATTATGCATTATTTGTATCCCAGTTACTTTTGGTGACGATGGTACCAGTCAATTTTTTTCCCCAGGGGAAAAAAAAGTAACAGGTACCAGTCAAATTTTTTTCTCAAAGGGAATAATGTATAGATGGAAAATGTTGAGATTTTCTCGTCATAGAAAACAATAGTGTATTATACATGGATAAAAAGTAAGATTTTAGCGCTCGCTGTGTTGACAAACCACACCTCACACTAAAATCTAGTACTTTTTTCCCTTATATAATAAATAACTATTTTTTTTCACTTTTTAGTAAGTTTTTACCAGAATTCTCTCTCTTCTTTGTCTCTCTCTAACACATTTAGTTTTTATGGAAAGTGCCCATAATTAAAAAAAAAAAAGTTGATGGTGGCCCATAGACGAAATGTTAGATTTTGAATTTGATGGTGACATCTTGTAGAGGAGAAACAGTGGTAATGATGAAGTGATATTTATTATTTATTTTGGGATATCTCTTCAAATAGGTAAGCTAAGAAAAAAATGAAAACGCTTTTGTAAAATTTTGGATTATTCCCAATATTTCCGAACTATTTGGAATTTTTAAACTTTCAAGACAGTATTTTGTGAAGCATAAAATTGCAAAAGTTTACTATAATTTAACCGACCCTGTATCTCTTACCGTTTCCAATATCATGAAACTGCTTGAATTTGGGACATCCTCTATATATTTTAAGTACCATTTTTATCTTACTTATTTATGTTTGGCAAAAAAAATTCCTTGTTGTGTAGAAAATTCTTTCCCAGTGTATTAAAAATAGTTTGAAATTTAAACATTTTTTGTCCTTGTCGAATTGCTGGTCCCTCGGCTGGTCCATTTATGTGGTCTCTCCAAAGTGACGTCAACAGGCGTGCATGCGCAAAGCAGTTGTAGACAAATCTATAGGAGAGTTTTACTAATCCTCCGCGAGCTGATAAGAGATGACACTGTTGAAAAAATACCATGTGATCTTTCATTTGAAGTTATTAAACTGGTCCAAGAACAGGTTTTTCTTGTAAACCCTATATGTGTTTATTGACCACATGCAGAATTATTCTTTTTGTCCACAAATACTAAAAATGTTCTTTGCTACTCACTAGCTTTAGAAAAGGTTTTTGTCTAAAAGCATGCGTAAAACGTCACTTTCCCGCACGCATTTTAATTCGGACACTATCTTTTTCCTGCACGCCGTATGGGAATTTTTTTTCCGCACGGCATGCGATAGAGAAATACTTGGAAATTCCTGAAAATACTTATAAATACTAAAAAATACTCAGAAGTACTTGGAAATACTAGGGAATACTTGGAAATACTTAGAAATACTCAAAAATACATGGAAATACCGTGAATATTAAGAAAAATGGAAATCGGTGTACAAATTTTGGTAGGTGAAAAGCTCCTCGGTAGGTACCTTCTTACTAAAACGATGAAATTTCAAAACAAATTTTGTCGAGATTTTGTATCCTAATATTCCTAATGGTCAATCAACATACCCCAAACTCCATACACTAAATTATTCTCAGATTTGAAGTCGAAATCTATGAAAAAAGGCACTCAGAAAAATTGAAAAATTGATAAATCACCCCAAATTGCTTAACACGATTTTATCTCAGGAACTATATGTGCAAATGAGCTGAAATTTTCAGGGATTGTAGTCCCTTTATCGAGATAAGATTCAGTGAAAGTTTCAGTCTTCTATCTTTAATAGAATAAAAGTTATGACTTTTCAAAATTTTCCAAAATCTAAATCATAAGGTAGCTACCATCTTACTGAAACGATGAAATTTCAAATTATTTTTTTGTCGAGATTTTGTATCCTAATGGTCAATCAACATACCCCAAATTCCATACACTAAATTATTCTCAGATGTGAAGTCAAAATCTATGAAAAAAGGCACTTAAAAAAATTGAATAATTTATAAATCACCCCAAATTGCTTAACACGATTTTATCTCAGGAACTATAAGTGCAAATGAGCTAAAATTTTCAGGGATTGTAGTCCCTTGATTGGGATGAAATTCAGTGAAAGTTTCAGCTTCCTATCTTTAATAAAAAAAAAAGTTATGACCTTTCAAAGTTTTCCAAAATCTAAATCATAAGGTAGGTAGGTACCTTCTTACTAAAACGATGAAATTTCAAAAATTTTGTTTGTCGAGATTTTGTATCCTAATGGTCAATCAACATACCCCAAACTCCATACACTAAATTATCCTCAGATTTGAAGCCGAAATCTATGAAAAAAGGCGCTCAGAAAAATTGAAAAATTGATAAATCACCCCAAATTGCTTAACACGATTTTATCTCAGGAACTATAAGTGCAAATGAGCTGAAATTTTCAGGGATTGTAGTCCCTTGATTGAGATAAAATTCAGTGAAAGTTTCAGCTTTCTATCTAGGTATAATATTATTCTTTCTTGTTTTCAGGTATCAAAACAACAATTATCCATCCAGCTACAGAAAAGCACATCACAAAATACTCCTCCCACAATTGCTACATAGTGGACGAAACCCCAGAAATCTACAACAAAATCGTTTTGCCTCAAATAATTCAAGACAAATTCGACTTGCAGTGGGTCTACAACATTCTAGAGCACAAATCTGAAAGCGACAGGATTTTGATTGAAGACACTGATCCAGTGGATGGATTTGTAGTTGTGCCCGATCTAAAATGGAATGGGGAAATTGATACTTTGTATTTTCTAGCTATTTGTAATCGGCGCGATTTGAAATCTTTGAGGGATTTGACTGGAGATCATTTGGTTTTACTTAACAATATCAAAACAAAAACTCTTCAAGCTATTGAAGCAAAATATAAACTAGACAGCTCTCAATTGAGAATCTACTTACATTATCAACCATCATTTTATCATTTACATATTCATTTTACTTACATTAAGCACGAAGCTCCAGGTATTTTAGCTGAAAGAGCCCATTTACTCACTATTGTAATTGGAAATCTTCAACTAGCTTCTGATTATTACAAAAAAATCACTATTCCTTTTGTAGTAAGAGAAAACGACAAACTATTTGCCAGACTTGAAAAAGAGGGCATTTTAAAATGTACAAAACATGTGTAATTGAGCTCAGGCCCAAACTGCACAGCGCAAATGTATTTATTACTTTGGAAAATGAATGTATGGGTATTAGTGTAAGCTTAAACGAAACTGAATTTACTGTATATTTAAGTTGCAATAGAGAATTCACTATAAAGTTTACCAGTTTCAAAGCACAAAAATCTACACTGTCTTCAATAAAAGTTTCCAGGCAGTATGTTAGTTTTAGATTTTTCACATCCACAGACGATAGTTTTGGCAGCTTCAAGACTGAATTACTCAAAAGCCATTTGCCAAACAATCCCTTGGCTAGGCCTTGTGAAATTGCTAAGGATTTAGCTTATATGATTCAATGTAAAAATTGTTCCAGAAATTTGGTTGACACAAAAATTAAATTTCAAAAAATATTACCATTGCCTGACAATCCAGATTCAAGCGATTGGTTTTGTCACGGCCATAACTCAAATGATTTTTGTCTTGAGCCTCAAAAAAATGACTTGTTTTATGGTAATTGTTTTGTGCATTTGTACAAAAATTGTTTGAGTAATTTTCTAACTAAAAATGATGTGCTTGTGTGCAAGTTTTGCTTTAATTGGCTGGGGGTTGTGGAACAAAGTGCCACAAAATTGTGGTTTAATACTGTCAAGTTTGTTGATGATGAATTAGGGGTAGTTGAATCAACTGGGCTGTCAGATGTTTGTGTTTTGATTAAAAATTTGTTTAGGAATCAACTATTTAATTCGCTGAAAACAATTTTGAGGTTTAAGCTGGATGATGGCAATGTAAACTATTTGTTTTTGTGGGTATTAGAGAAGCAATTGAAAGTTGTTTTTAATGATGAGGAAAAGAATGTTGCTAAGATTTTGTTTAAGTTTTTTGAGGATGATAGTGATGAGATTTTTGTGCAGTGGCACAATGATTACAGGGTGGAGGTTACAGACATTTCCAAAGTGATGATGGTTGAAATTTTGAAGCATTTGCACGAGAACAATGGAGTGTTTCCTAAAGAGTTTTCGATTTCGAATGATTTTTTAGTTTCGTATTTGTTTATGTATGATTAAAATAGTTGTATGGATTAATATTGGTTTTTTTCTTTCATGATATCCCATATTTTGTTGAGATTCAAAGTTTTACTCCTGACCAACGTTTTGCTGAGGTCTGAAGAAATTAAATAATAATAATAGAAAAAAAGTTATGGTTTTTCAAAGTTTTTCAAAATCTAAATCATAACTAAAACGATGAAATTTCACATTTTTTTTTTGTTGAGATTTTGTGTCCTAATGGTCATCTGATATCCCCCGAATTCGATACACTAAATTATTCCCAGATTTGAAGCCGAACTCTATGATAAAAGGCATTCAGAAAAATTGAAAAATTGATAAATCACCCCAAATTGCTTAACACGATTTTATCTCAGGAACTATTAGTCCAAATGAGTTGAAATTTTCAGGGATTGAAGTCCTCTATTGGAATGAGAATCGCTGAAAACTTCAGCTTTCTATCTATAATAGAAAAAAAGTTATTATAACCTTTCATAGTTTTCCAAAATCTAAATCATAAGGTAGCTACCTTCTTACTTCTCAGAAAAATTGATTAATCACCCCAAATAGCTTAACACTAATGGCCGTTTCCACCAACTATTTTAGGGGAGCCTCAACGATAAGTATTCCCTAAACTGACATTTCTCCATGTAAAAATGTCATTTAAGGAATACTTATCGTTAAGGCTCCCCTAAAAAAATAGTTGGCGGAAACGGCCATAATAGTCGCTCCTTGAAGTTTCCTCGAACTTTTCATATACTGTAAATGTTATTTGAAAAGTAGGACAGTCAGGGCCGTAGCCAGGGGGGGGCAATGCCCTATCTTTCAAATGATCATGCCCTACCTTTAAAACGCAACATGCGTTAAGGTTTCTCTAGGAAGTTTGAGAGCAGATAATGAAAAGCCCTGAAATCGAGTAAGTGTGGGGATAAGTGTTTCCGAAAACTCCTAAATGTATGCAACAATGTTTGAAGTTCACACAGGGGAAGTTTTTCGTTTCGAAAGAGTACAAATGCAAGGATAATACGATAATACACACTACTACACAGGATTGCTTATCGGCCTCATTTGTGGAAATTGCGGCCATATGGTGTAACACTATTGACGACATCATCAACTACGTCTTCAGCTGTTTGCGCGAACGGTCGTAGTTTAGAATATACATGATGAAAAATGTTATCATGGGATCATAACTATTAACTTGTGGTGAAAACACCCTACGTCAAGGCGAGAAACGACACGCTGCCTACGTAATCACTGGTTCTTTGGCGTGGTAGGGGGCTCACTGGCGCCGACTACATGGGGGCATTGGGGTAGGTGCACCCATGAGCAACCTCTCATGGGTACGGAGCACCCATGGGAGCTCTCGTGGGAAGTACGGAAGTACAAACGTGGTAAATGCTCATTCCGTTCCATGTGGTAATATCCAGTATCATGTAATTTAAATGTACACAACTTTGTATAAGAATTATACAAGTGGTATTAGTATTCTGTCCTTCTGTTATTTGTAGTCAGTTCTATGCTCTATTACTTTATGTTGCTATTCTCCATCTCTATTCTTTGTGATAATAATCGGGAAGACTGGCCCACAACGGGAAGTCTGGCGCTTATTGCGCCGTATAGTGGCTGTATGCCATATAATTTGGTTTTGCGCGTGGGTAGGGATGGTAATGATATATCGATGTTTTGTAGAAATCAAAATATTATGTGTGTGAGAAAGCTTTAGGGACTTGTTATCCTTTGGTACTGATCCTTATGTTATCCTTTTTACCTGGTTGATTACCCCTCTTTGTGTAAATAAAGTCGTCTAGATAGACCCTATGGCGTGAAGTGAGTGTTTTGATAATTTTTTTTCAAGAATCTTCATTTTTATCTGAGACAATTAGACAATCTATTCCAATATGGTTGTTCAGGTCAAATTGTGGCTATGAATTGTCGTGACGTTCATAAAAAAAGCATTTTTGCTCAGGGCCCTTATTGTTGTAGATGCCAAATATGACAATATGACAATGCCAATGTCAAACCTAAATGTCCGGAATGTGACAGAATAATAATTTTTCATTGATTTCTGTCAGTAACCATGTAAACAACACGGTAAGTAGAGTGTTTTCACAACTATCAGACCACATATCCACTTCTACCACGTAAAACCCCCTCCAGCACAGCCATCATACCACTACCCACCTCCACTGCAAACCCCCTTCCGTGAAGCTCCTCCTACCCTAAAATCCCCCCACTATGAGCCCCAAACAAGATGGCCGCCATAGCAATATAATGTGTCCATCATCGCTGCTATAATAACGGATTGGCCCGGGTCAAATTCCCAAAATTTCAGATTAAAATTCATTATTATAGCAGCGATGATGGACACATTAGGTCTGTTCCAACACAGCAGGAAACCGTACAATGTACCGTCACGATTCTGCGCAAAACATAAAATTTGTGCGTAGAAACCGAAATTCGTTCACTGAGTGGTTTCGAAACCGTTCATTGGCGGTCTTTTGACGTGTTGGAACAGACCTATTATATTGCTATGGCGGCCATCTTGTTTGGGGCTCCTAGTGGGGGGATTTCAGGGTAGGAGCTTCACGGAAGGGGGTTTGCAGTGGAGGTGGGTAGTGGTATGATGGCTGTGCTGGAGGGGGGTTTTACGTGGTAGAGGTGGGTATGTGGTCTGATAGCTGTGAAAACACTACTACGGTGTCTGACCTGAACTTCCATATTGAATTTCGTTTGGCAGGTCATGAGATTGCCTAATAATTTCTATTTGTAACACATAATTACATACATCATAATTTACATAAATATTATATTAAGTTGATTGTAGTGGCTGTATGCACTATGTGCAAAACCAACCAAACCCCAAAAAAAATAATAATAATAAACTATTTTCTACTGACATTTCATAATACGCTATTAAACGATTAAAATCTGTATCATAATGAACTTCATTACGATACCGATTTTCATTATAATACTCATTTTTAATATTATACAATGTTGATAGATGGCAGCACTACTTAAGATATTATACATTTTAAACGGTAATTTTGCGTAAAACAATTATTTTGATAACTATAAAAAAGACTTCGAATTGTTTAAAAGTTACCTAAAGTTTGGGACAAAGAATAATTATTATGGAATTCATGAATGATAAGGAAGAATTTTCACTTTTTTCATTATTATACATTTTCAATAGATGGCGCCACCAGTTAAAAAAAATTGATTTTTTTTTTTGAATGTTGGCAGCACTCTGTTTATAGCTTTTCCATGGTAATTTAGCGAAAAACAATAATTTTATTGAAAAAATACTTCGAATTGTTATTAAAAGTTACCTAATGTTTGGGATAAGGCATTAATATGGAAATGTTGAGTGATAACGAAGAATTTTCACTAACACCTCCAGAAATTACAGAAAGGGCGACAAATGCAGGTAATATTATACTACCGGACAAGTCCAAGAAAATTTACGAAAAATTATATAGACAATTTATGGATTGGAAACACCAAAAACACATCGTCCTTCTCAGAAAATGTTTTGATAGTATATTTTGGACAATTACAACAAAAAATGAAACCTTCAACTGCATGGATTACTCAATTATAAAATCTCTATTCAAATTAAGTAAAGCATAATGTTGACATATCTAAATATAAGTTTTATCAATGGCAGTAGAAAAAATAGTGTATGCAACTCTCATGTAATGGCCATTAATACACTCGCATGTTATATACGAAACTCGCTTGCGGCTCGTTTCGTATCCTACAACATGCTCGTGTATTAATGGCTATCATTACATGATCATTGCATAATATACTAAATATCGATATATTTTAATCGATATTTTACATATTTAATAATCTTTTCGATGTATCGGTACTTTTATAATAATAGTTCATTAGTTGACAGTGACAATCTGACAGTTGACAGAGGCGGCTAAAATGAAACAAAACATCAGTTGGGGCGTGTGCGTAGCAATTAAATGAGGAAAGGAGATTTTCCGCATGATCAAGGAACGTTATTTTTTTACGACCGTGCGGAGAAGTACTTTTCCGCACGCATTTCAGGACATGAAAGTATCAGGGTGACTTAACATTGCATATTTATTTTACTTTTCCACACTACTGCCTAAATGCGTGCAGAAAAAAGCACGCTCGCAGAGAAAATGTTTCGCCTCTGGCGGCGCCTTCGGCGAGCTTCACCCTTCCCCTATAAACAAATTTATAAAGTTATTCTGCACCCATGAGGACTTTCAAAAGTCGGCGCCCCTGAGGGGGCTTGAGATTTGATATATAGGTACACAGAGAGGCCTTATGATGATAAGCTATCCTGTAATAGTAGTAGTAGTTATGGCGAAAACCATTGGTGAAATTAGTGCAAAAAACATGTATTTCTGTCACTTTCTTTTACATGCTAGTAGAAGAGGACACGAATGCACTCAGTGCGCACTGGACTTACCAATGGATTTCACTATTAGTGTGAATTATAACTTGGTACGAATGATCCAAGGCGGCGCGAGAATCAGCGCCATTTTGTTTACTTGCCAGAGATGTTATTTATTGAAAAATTTGTCTTCGGCGCCATTACCACCAGATTGTTTACCAACGTTTACCTATAATTTAAGGGAGGGGGGGGCAAGTAGTGTATGCCCTATGTCAAATTTGTCATGCCCTATCACAAATTTGACTCTAGCTACGGCCCTGAGGACAGTTCTTATGATTAGCGTTAGCGGAACCTGCTAACTAACGAGTAACGGGAGATGGGAGATAGCGGATGCCTTACCGTAACGTTATGTTATGTCAAAATTAGTTTACGCTCCATTTCCGTCTACAAGAACAGCAACTTTTAATAATTCCTCCATTAGAAACACCAAGGGAAAATTTATGAATCTCAGAAATCTTCAGGATAAGTAAAAGTTTGCAAACAAGCAAAAAAAGTTGGGTGAGAGAACCAGGGTTGCCACACTTCCGGAAGTAGATCTACTAAATGAGACTATGGAATCTACTAGAAATCTACTGAC